GTCGTTAAAAAATTCTGAAAAATTTAGTTTTTATATGAAAAAAACATATTTTATATATGAAATGAAATTAACGATTGCATTGAAAATGAATGTCTACTCAAGAAATAATGAGAAAAATATATACAAAATCTAATGAATATAACGATTAATAAAGTGAAATCACGCACACATGAGAAGTCAAATGAGAAATCGATTAGAAAAATAAATAAATTTTTATAACTTTTAATGAAAACGAATCCATATTTTCTTATAACTTCTTTTTAAGATATTTGAAAAAACATTTTCCTATAGTTTTTAGTTTCAAACTGACGTTCAGTTTTGTAACAAACACTTCATAATACAGTTAGAGATTTACTAAACAGAATCTAAGCACTAAATTATGGCCAAATCAAGCAAATTGTTGACTATGTTTCGGGTGTTTGTTATCGTTTTGATATTTCCCTTCAGTAATGCATTTATGGAGAACTTCGGCCAAATGTTTGGCAATATGGGTGACTCCTTATCCGGTTTTGTGGACAGTCTCTACAATAACGTGGACTCGTGGGCCGACCATATCATTCAACACGCAAAGGACGAGGACTGCGAGTTTATATGTCCGCACAGTATGTCTTTCACATTCATATAAATCACATATTCTTGTGTTTAAACATATTCCTCACAATTGAGGTCCAAATATAAAATGCTGTTTTGTACCGCATCTAAAATACACTATCTTCATTTTGTATGTTTCTTGCCTATAGATTACTAGATCTATAGGATAAGGAATAATGCTATTTCAGTGATTACATTGAAATGTAATTAAAAATGCTATGAATTAACTTTTGTTTAGCGAAAATTGCTGTCCATAACACGTCTTATGAACATCACCCCAAAGGATGCAAAACATTTGGACTGAAGGTATTTTCAATTATGAAATCATTTTGATTATGAATTCAAATATTTACCAAATGTTATGCAATTGATATGGATTCAGATCAAAGAGTCAGATCTGCCGATCAAAGAGATGCAACTCTGTTGTAATGAACACCAGATGTGTTACCATAAATGCGGATCCGTTAAGAATGATTGCGACGACAAATTCAACGAATGTCTGTTCCAGAAGTGCAAAGAGACTCAGAAAGAGGAAACCCTTATGAAAGGTAACACATTTACTCATATATATGAATAGAGTGAAGAGTGACTTAAAAACTATTATAACAATGCATTGTTAATTGTAACTTAAATGATGTTGTATTGAATAATTTGCAATAATTGTGTGGAAAGGGTGTCGAACGGCAACAAAGCTATTAATGATGAGTTTCCTGACGTTTGGCTGCAAGAACTATAAGGATTCACAGAAGAGCGCCTGTATGTGTGTCGCCAGCGATGAACTATAGACCTATCACTTAGAGGGTATAGAATATTAGTTAGTTCTATATTATATTCTCTATGTCTATTGCTCTACCTCTTACACCCCCTACACATACCATACACTCCAACAAAACTTATAAACTATATAACAATTAATGCTATAATTATATATTTGTACGCAATTTAGAGAAATACAAGTAAATTATTTTGTTATAAGATTACTCAATATGTGTATTAACTTATTGTCTATAAACTGCAAAAATAGCTGTATTCTTGTAAACATGGATTTGATTGTAAAACACTAAATAAGACAAATAAAAAGTATGTTTTGGAAAATGTGTTGTTTTTTGACATAAGGAACTGTATAATGATTGAACTTGGTAAATTTCCAATTCTGTATCTATACATTTATTCACCAAATAATGTATAACTTATTCATTGTATTTGTTTTAAAATAAGAATTTAGTTTTCTATAAGATATTTGTTATTATTTTTAATAAATTGCATTTAAATAAAATACAACTAAATTAAATTTCAATTCCATTAAAAGGACAATCGTTTCCTGTTTTGCAATTCAGATAACGATGTCTTCACTTCATTGGAATCGCCTTTCGATAAAAGTTCACTCATTTTGTCCGCAAAATTATTATTGTATTTATTGTTATTTAAAGACGTGGCACTCAACTAGATTGATATTTTGTGCGGATGTCAATTATACCATTAATATTTAATAATAGATTTAAATATAATCTCTAAAACTGATGACAATTATTTGATACCAAAGAAATGATAAACATTTTCAATTGTTTTATAAATAACTCAAACTTTTATATTCAATACAAATCTGGTGTAAAACAATTGAATGATTAAAGCAATGACAGTAAAGATAAACATATAATTGTCTGCAATTCAATGCGATTCCTATCGGGAATGCAATCCATGTTTGAAATGTCCGTCCATTGAAAAATGTGTTCACAATCTTCAACACAGAATATTCTGTACACTATTTGAATGCATTACACGAATGGAGACGTTATCTATAAATAGTAACCAAAACTATAGTTTCAATGCAATGACGCAAACAATGAAATAATAAACAAATTCAGTGAAAATCACAACAAAAACATTGCAATCATTGGTTGCAAGTCATCGGCTGAAGACATAATGGAATGGACAGGTCGTGGAGGACTTCCCGGCGACAAACACGACGGCCCGGTATTCAACTACAACT